GGGAAAGAGGAGAGTATTAGTGAAATAGTTGTTGTAGAAGCAAATTAGTTGCGACTAATTACTGCCAGAACAGAAGCCTCTAAGATGGAAGCAAACAGAACCGTGTTATTTCCCATCAGCTGGAATCAGGATGTGGCCCATGAACAACTGCTTTCTGTCAGAGTTACCATGCACGCCTTTTTCCCCCACTAATTACAATCATGAAATCATTCTCTTCTATAGATGTCTCTCTCTGATCATCACTGTAATACCAGTGGAATCAAACGCTTTGCCTTTAGGAGTACTTCCTGTAAGAGCCTTTTTTAGTTTGGCATATGCCATCAGCACTTCTTGCATCTAGCCTGCTCTCTTTGTTGTCATCTTTGATTAGGCCTTCATCATTCACTCGATGCCTACTGCTACCACTACGCTCAAATTGGCAGGTCTGCTCAGTGACTGAACTATAATTTCCTGTACCTTTTTCGCAGCCTTTACACCTGCAAGGACAAAACATGGCATTAGAGCAGGGTACACTTAAAGCAAAGCAAATTTAGAATCATAGGTGAAAAATGCCTACACATGTATTGCATTCAAATAACATTAGAGTATTTTGCTTCATAGTGTAAAATAAACTGTTTTAACATTCACTTTGAGAAATAAAAATGACCCCTAAGTTAATCATGACAGCAAAATGTTTCTCCTTTACTGAAATGCTCGCCTGAGTGCTTCTAAATCTAACATTTGGCTATCAATCTCACCTTTAAAGCGATGGGAGAGCATTGGGATTTCACTCTGTTCATATAGATTGGGATTTCACTCTGTTCCTGAGAGCTTAAACTGGTTTATCCCTGAAGGGCTATATATCAATGCAGCAAAGAAAGAATTAGAGTAAACAAATTTATCAGTTTAATTGCCTGGGCAAAATTTCACAGGTTTATGTTATCACTTAAGTTATTACATTTTTCAATAACTTAATTCCCAATTGGTACATGGCCTAACCTAACCTTACTTTGCTCGTAAGTTATACAATGCTGCAGTATGTAAACATAACAATGGGAGAATTCTCCTCAGAGATGGAGAACAGCCTAACATAATTCCGATGTTCCTAACCTATTTCCCAAGCGAAAAAAACAAAGCACACTGCTAGTACCGTGTACGGTAGATTGTTTGCCTGTCTTTTTTAAGGGTGTAATTTCAGCTTAGAGCCCAGATCAGAGAGATAAACTCATTTTACACGTTTGCATGGGGCTGGATTTTCACTAGTATTTATATTAACCATCCACTTTGACTTGAAACTTGAACTACACATTTTCCTAAAGCATGAGTCTCTTAAGAATGTGCAGAATGAGCTTCAGACCTTACCTTCCCTCTGGTGCCTCTTGATCATGGCTTTGTCCTGCCTCATCTTCATTTTGGGAAGGAGCTGGTGGTTCCTCAACTTCCTTTTCGCTTTTATCAGCATTTCCCTCCCCTTCCTTCTCCCTCTCCTCTTGTCTTTCATCTCCAGACACTTGATGTTCCTCCTTCCTCTCCCCATCTCCTGGGGACTCACTCTCTATCTCCTGCCCAGTTATCCTTCGACAAGCATCGTCAACAGCATCTTCTTGCTGCTTTTCTGTAGTGAATGATTTCTGAACAGAGCTTCTCCTGTAGTTGTAATAGGTTTCGAAAGCCAAGCTTTCTCCTTTGTCCTCTGGCCCTTCAGTATGAAATTTAGGAGGATCCATTTGAAGCAGAACAGAGCTTTCTGTCTCAGCATTTTCCTTGTTGAGCTTATCAACTTCTTCTTCCTGAGAGCAGGACCGGTTCTTCTGGATGGGTTCCTCTGTAAGTAAACAGATTACCAAGGAATCTGTCAGTAATTCTCCGATGGTCAGTAACAATATTAAAGTAGGGTTGCACATTTGGCATTCTGTTGCATTTTGAACTAGGCACTTACTTTCCTCTCCCACTTTTCAAGGTCAGTGTAAATGTCTTCAAAGCAAGAGCAAGCTTTAAAACTGGGATATCATGGGTCACAAACTCTTCCTTTCAGACACAACACTGGAAAACGTTTTTCTCACTCAAATTTATTGTCAGCCAAGTCAAGGCTAATAAACTCCTCATGCAAAGCACTTTTTGAACAGTTTGCCACCATGTGCACAGGCATGCGAAAAGCAAGTTGACATCGCTTGGACAATTCTCAATTAGGCTGATGAGCACACAGGTAACCCAACCAACTTCAGTGCAACTGCTCAGGAGAATAATGGCTATTTCTGTGCAGTTGTACCCTTAGGAAATGGAAAATGATCAGGACAAAAATATTCTAACCTGTTGAATCTGGTGGCTTCTTCTCTTTTGTTCCCGTCTCATTCAAATGTGACTTTTCTTTGATGGCCTGTGGAGAAGGCAATTGACGTATTGGTCAGTGTATACAGTGTTTGTGTTGTACTGTTCCTCATGAAATTGCAGCATGATTTGTCTTAGTCAAATGCAAGTACTCTGTTCTAACACGTTTTTCCTATAAATGATGGTCCTTATTTTAATCACTACCAAGCTGATCAGATTGGTAGCACTGTAAAGCAAGAGAAATTATCTCAGTTGTAATCAACATCGGTGTTGGCATAAACACAACCCAGAAAAGATCAGGATGGAGCCTCAGGGACTGAAAGAAAAAAACATCCAGAAATGAGCTGTTGCCCTGCACTAGCTTTTGCTGTTAAAAACTAGGTTAGTTAAACCAAAGCCAGTAATATTTAATATTCTAGTAAAATGTTCACTAACAGTATTACTGACAGATTTCAAAAACTTTTTTGGTGTTAATCAACACCTGGTAACAGCATTTTTAATGATCCAATAATTTATTACAGGCTGACCAAAACAGTTACCAGGAATCAGAGCATATAAACCATGTCAGCTTCAGAGCTTGCTTTTATCTATGTTTTACAATGTTACAGTGACATCTAGAGGTGCGTTATACCGAGCCAGCTCCTCGTAAAAACTATTACTGTTAGCTTTATGGCTATTTACTCATATTCCTATGCCATTTGCTCAGCATGATTTTTCATCGGCCTCTCCTAGATTTGTAGTAGGACGGTGACCACTGTAAACCATGGTGTCTGCTGTTGCTCGGGGCTCCTTTTCCACCTGCCTTCTTCCTCTCACAGTACTATGAAACTGGCACTATCATTATTAGTAATAGATCCACAGGGTGTGAAAAATGCAGATACCTCCAAACGTTTTCCAGGGAGACTATTTTTGGTCTTTGAGCTACCAGCTGAACCAGTGTAATATATATTTCCACAAAATATACAGGGCCAGGCACTTAATTTTGAGTGTCTTAATCATGCAAGCAGTCCCATGGCTTACTCATGTTGTACTCTGAGTGTGAATCAGTTCTATTACTAAACATTTGTTCTGGTAAGCCCTCTGCATTTTTTATGCTTTTTTTTTAGTTTTGTTTTAATTTCATCAGGCCATATAGAAAACAGGCATGAAATTAAAACAATGTGTACACGCTATAGAGTTCAAGGGAAAGGAAACTCCATGAGAAGCAAAAACAGTTGAGAAAAATGGGAAAGAAAGAAACTGTAACATAAGCAAAAGAACTGAGACTGACAACTATTTGGGATGCAGTTGGTCCCAGGAAGCTGCAAACCGCAAAATGAAAAAGGCCCAAATACAACTAGGTAAGTACCTTTGAAATATAAATTGAAGCCTTGTTCACACAGAACTTAAATATAAATGTCACAGTTCCAGATGAATCACAGGGCATCAACCAATGCTCATTCTGTTTTTTTAATGGTGAAAAGAACTAAAAGAAGTAGGGAAAAGCCTCAGCCTTATTCATTCTGCAATGTGACTGCAATTAGTAATGCAATTGGATTCCTGTAAGTATGTCAACCTCACCATACTGCTGAGGACATCAGCTCTGATCAAATACAGTCAGCTGAGCAAATAAGCAGAGAAACGGCCTCCAAGCTCTTTGATGCATGGGGCCAGCTTTCACTTCTGCATTCAGAATTAATTGCAGGCACACAGAGCTTCCGACTAAATATTGCTGTAGTTTGCAGGTGTGAAATACAGAAGCCAGCTTTTGAAAATCTGGTGGAACACTGGACGATGCCGAATATCTGAAACTGCCAGGGTGTTACATAAATTACTACAGTGTTTATTCAAGCATCGTTTCTGCTCTCTCACATTTTAACAGCAGATGAGGAGCTCATACTAATTTAAACGAGGGAAGAAAAAAAAAAAGAATACAAATGTAATGTTTACTGATGTCCTTCAGAATCTATAAATGCAGCTATTTGTAATAAATATAGGGTCAGTAGTGCACTAGAATAAGAAATAAAAGCAGGAGGACTAGATATTGGACTATGTGTAGACACATGAGTAGTCTATATATGAGCATCCCAGTTGTCTCCTCGTTTTGCTATTTGTAGAAACATGTGACTTCAACTTGTCAAATCTTGACCTGGCAATAAAAACACAAACTCTCATTATTTCTTCCCTGTAAAGGGTGGGATTGCAACAGGTTTTCTGGAGCTGACAGAAGTCACCACATCCCTCCCGGCTGGCTGCACACCATGGGAGGCACAAAGACCTCCCTGTAGTTTGTTGGGGGTACGTGCCCCCACAATGTCTGACCCCAGAAAGTTGAGCCAGCTGCTCCAAGAGCCCAGAGGTTGCGAGCACCACCACGTTCTTCTGAAAATCTCATCCGAAAGGCATGGTGGTTTGTTAACAACTTCCGTCCCACTCAAGTACTCTTCATAACACTCCTCTTCCTTCAGTCTGCTAGCACTGCTTTCTCAAGGGTCTTCTGAACTTAATCCCTTGAACTTCATGGAATTTTATTTATTTATGTATTATTCTTAATGAACTTTGGTGACATGTGACTTTTTTCCAGTCCATAATTTCTAAAGTTATAGGGATCAATATTTCTTAGTGGAAACTATGCCTTCACCTTATTTTTTCCCCCTTCTTTAATGACTTGAATATGCACAATAAGGTTAATGCACTACAGTCATCTTTCTGACTCATACAAGCCAAAAGCTTTCAATCAAGTTTTCATTTTAATTCCACAAAAGGTTAAATACAAAAGGTTGCCTTGTGACCCTGCAAAATATACCAAAGCAAAAAGGTGTCTGTACATACACAAGGGGTATTGTGTCTTAAAAAATACTTTTTCCAGACTTAAACATATTCTTTCATACAGAGTATTGCAAGATCCAAAGTAATAAAGACAGAATAAAAGCCCACGTGATGATAACAGAATAATACAAGATACTCCAGAGGCTAAAACTTCAGTATAGATCAATGGAAAAAACCCCACTTCTGGAAATTATTTAAATTGACTTTAGAAACCTGCAGAAATTAAGCAATAAGCAATTGTATATATAAATATAACATATTTTAACAGAAATTTCAAATGCAGTGAGAAATTAATGTTTTTTATAGACAACTGACTCCTTTTTAATGAGCTGTACTTAGTTAAATTCCTTCTTTATACTGCAGCAGTCCTACCCTTGGAATGTTTTCTCAGCTAACTTTCAAATTCTTTTTATTCACCTAATAAAACTCTTTGATTTTTTTTTTCCTACTGCAAAAATTTTTGTAATGAATGGCCTCACGAAGCAGCCCCGACCTTTTAGTTAGAGGTCCTTTATCACCCCATCACATTTCATTTGATGTCAAGACACTATTCTCAACTTCAGTCAGCAGATACCGAGACACAAAACTTTGCATATGCCTAAACCACATTTCTCACTCGGTGTCTCTTTCTCATGTTCTTAAGATACTTTGCAGAGTTTTATTATGGCAAGATAGCCTGGTTTTGTGTAAGACCTGATCACCATCCATTTATCAACATGATTAAGTTACTTGAGCTTTGTGATGAATTCATTTCACTAACAGCCAGAAACCAGCTATGGGCTTTGCCAGCTGAACACAGTACTGTGGATGCTCCCAGTATCTCCACATTGGTACATAGGAGGATGCACCACATATGACAGAGACCTTGGGGCAACATGTGTGGTGATGCCTCCTGTGCTGTCTCACAAAGCTGGAAACCATCCCCTTCTTCCCTTTTGTGTTTCTCTTAAATACACACGGTGTTTTTTCCCCCCAGCAATGTAAAATATTCAGTGAATGTATTTCTGATACAAACTTATAAATGATACAAAATGTACACATAGGAATTTTGCTTGTACTGGCAGGCAGTACATCTGCTTCTGTGTCATTATTTTTTGCTACACTACACAAACTCTGGCACCTTCAGCCAAAGATTTTGACTCCTCCACAATCTTTATATAGCTCCCTAAACTAGATAAAGAAATCATTCTTAGGTATAAACCAAGCTCAAGTCACAAGTACCTTTTAATCACGCAAGAAAATAGCCTACAGGCCATGAAAATCGTGATTCCCCCACTAGGAAATACAAGAGAATTTCTGTGTGACCTCCTGCCTTGAAAATACATTGGTAATGAGGTAACAACCTCGCACGAAAACGCATACTAAATACTGAAAAATCCCTTGGAATAACACCATCCTAGGTGAGAAGCTGAAAATCAGTGAAACCAAAGCCTTATCCACTCCCCTCTTCAGTTTTTTGACTTCCCACCCGCTGCACTGGAGAAGCAGCGGCTGTCCTGTTTCAAATGGATGCCTCCTCCTGCCAGGCCATGCCTTCTCACAACAGGTAGTCTTACAGTGAAGAGCAGAAGAGGCTTTCACGCAACCAGGCTCCTGACAGAGCCCGTGGCCTCCAGCATGCCACCTGCTATGGTGAAGGCACAGCATACTGCACTAACAGTAACAGGCTGCTTTTAAACATCTTTACTTTTGCCTTGAGGTCCAGTCACTGTCATTTAACAGTCGTCATAAGGGATAAGAGCAGGTTTGGAGGTAGATTTTTTTAACTCCATTGATTGGTATGATTTTAATGTCTCTGGAATACACAGAGGCCTGTAATAATGACCAACAAATCTGAGGCTACCAATCCACCTCCTAATACCAGAGCATTCAGCATTACCTCACTTTGACACACTGCATCTGAAATCAAATCAACCTGTTACTACCCCTTTTGGGTTTCTCACCTGAACAAATCAGGGGCAACATCAGGCAAGCACAACCACTGGTGACTCTGGCTGCTTGTCTTACCAACACATCGGACAGCCTCACGTCTACCCCTTCTCTGTACTGCTCAATGCCCTCGCACATGTGATGACTGACAATGTCCCATGCGCTTCACAGGTGCACTTGTGCTTCACATACACCTTTGCCATAACCCCCAAATTTTCTAGGTGCTCTTCCCCACATTTTCCCCATTACCATTAAATGGCTCATCCTCTAAAGTGGGCTCCACAAGGGACACAGTGAAAAAGGAGGAAAAAA